CAGCTAGACCTAAGCTGCATGTCTGAGATGAAGATAACAGGTGGTGTAACTATCAACTTTTCCTGTATGACCCCATGCACTGGCCTGCAGAAGTCAAGTACGGAAATAGGTGGGCACTTCACAAATTTCATTTTTTATTACTCTTGTTCATAGAACAATGTGTTGGGTAGTATTTGATTTTGCAAACATTTGGGGTTTTTAATAACTGTCCTCTTGACAGCCTGCTTCAGACACCAGACTGAGGTTGTGTGTTACCCATCTGACATCAATCACAGAGCTCAAGTGAGTAAACAAGATTGTCGTAATCAAAGACAAAGATGATGTCTGCATTGTTCGTGTAGATAAGGATGATAAGAAAACACAATTATGTAAAGAAAGGGGTGGGGAGAAAGGGCTTTACATGAATGCTCATGAGAGAGTTTCTGAAAGTAGTCTGAAAATGAGTGTGGCATCTCCAGATGAGATGCTACCTAAAAGTACATATGATTTGCCTGAAATCACAGCAGGCCAGGTAGGAGGGGGTATTGAGAGTTGGCCCTGAATGTTCARTTTTTCAGCCAAGTGTTCCACCTGCTAGATCACATTATCTGCTGATGGTTATTTGCTCATATTACTTAGCTGAAAAGTTTCTRTGCTACTCAAAAATCAGTTTTAAAATAATTTAAATACAGAAAACCACCTCAAACAAGTAATAAATAATTCTTATCTCTGTTTAGATTATTGAAGCAGCATTTCAAGAGGAGGTATACTTTCCATGAATAGCTGGTTTACTTCGTTCTACAGTTTTGTTCAGCACTGAAGTTAGAATAATAGTTTTCATGCTTGTTTATAGTTACTGTCATTTCCCTATTATAATTCCACTGAAGTGTTGTAAAGTAGTGGGGTCCCATGCTTCGTGTGGCATTCCTTGCGCTCAAATAAAAAATTTAAATGTTCATCTTAGTCCTGGGGTTTTTTTTAGCTGGAAAAGAAACCAGAATCTAAAATTTAGATTTCTCCTACCATGACAGGCCCATTAGGGGAAAATTGGTCCACCTGCCTCAATCATGTTAAGTAAAAATGTATTCCTTTCTTGCTGCAGCTAAGAAGAGCAATCAGTCCAACAGCAATACATATATAGACACCTTTTTCCCCCCAGAATAAAGAGAGTCAACTTCTATTTACACAATAAAACTAGAAAGCAAATTCATTATTAAGTTGATATTCTACACTGTTATTCCAGTTAATCCAAACAGCATACTGGATTCCTACCATCACAATTATTAAATACATGTTTTACTAAACCTGGCCCACCAATTCAAAATATTGTCGGACTCTGGAACAGCAGAATTGTGATTTAAAACAAAAGATGAAAAATTGAGAAGAAATAATAACCCATTAATTTATGACAGCRATTACCTATCCAATGAGCAATAAAAGGAGTTACTCTTTTACCTTACCTAATTAAGACTTGAAGTGGCTTTATATCAGAAAAATCTCTTTTCCGCCACTCCCTACTCAAGGTCATCAAATGTTATAGCCTTCTTTTAAGAGACTATGTCACAGATTGGCTATGTGAAGCTCTAGCAATATCCTGTCCMTAAACTSTGTATTTATSTTTGGTYATTTTCCTTTGACATKCACAGCAAGTGTGGTTTYAGGGAATACYRCCTCCGAGTCATTTTATACAATAGSCAYGCATCAGCACATCATATGTTTTGTTCCACCTTACCTTGCTTATATTTTTGTCAGATCAGCATTGTGATTTTTATGAAAGGTGATATTCAGATGTATGGCTGATTGTGTCTGTATGTTAAGGTTGTATGTTAAGGCTCTATGTTAAGGAGAGACAGGTAGAAATTACTGAATTTAACTTTCAGTTTTACTGACACTTTGTTACAGAGCATTGATATCAGCTCCCACCATTTGCAACACACAGCTGTGTTGTGAAAAAATACCATTAGTAACAGCATCCTTCCAAGGAATTATAATTCCTTGTCTTGTCTAAGCGCTTTTACCTCTGTTAGTTCTGTCATAGGTTTAATAGARGGTTTATAGAGTTTCCTTCTAACTCCCATTTTGCTTATGAATGTGTCRTCAYTGCTCCCTCTTCTTTCATCCATCAAGAGTGTGAATATAAACAGACKGATCTCTGACCACCCACGATGCAGAGCAACATYATTTATTCTACTGTCAACCAATCTGATGATTAATATGGCAATCATGTATATGTCTGATAAGATGGGCATCCCCTTATCACATTCCTCTACAGCACAAGCTTTACCCAACAAATTACTTTAGAATGCAGCTGTGTGCTTTTCCATTCTGCTCTGTGGCCATTCTTTCTCTGAAGTGTTCCATCAAAAAGTTGTATGAAATTAACAAATATCGTCCCCAGTCTCTGAAATGAATGGACTCTTGTGAATTCCAAGGATTTTACACTGTCGTGTTTTAGTACTCTCCCTTCACAAATGGGTCGAATTAGCACACAGTACTATTTTRTTTATGCCTAATAATAGGCATCATAAAGAATTTTTGCTATCCATTAATTTTTATTTGCTCTGGCAAAAAAAATAAAGTTGAATTAGTTTGGAGAATCATGSAGTGCCAGACATAATTGCTCATTACAGTATTTGGTACAGTCAAGCTCTTGTTACACCTCACTGACCACAGGTGATAATTGCATTGGTTTTTTCTCTTTCTCTCTCCTGGTATCGTCCAGGTGCTAGTATTTTCTTTGYCTAACACTATCATCCTCTAGCTGGAAAGCATAATTAAGCCAAAGTCAGAAAAAGGTTGTTCCCTGCCTGTAACTAATTTAAGTTAAAAACTCTTTTTTATTTCAAAATTGAACAAAGGCTTGTTGTTGATTTAATAAGGTACTATATCCTCCTTTGGAACTCAATTKTCATATGATGTATTTGATACTTTTTGATACTGATATTTGCACATCTTCCTGGACTTTATCCAGCCCAAGTACTTTACCAGTTATTGTATTTTTTTTTTTTTTTCTAACATCACTTTCCCCTAGCTGAAGTTGATTCTAGTGTCATTCAGGTTGCCTGTTCTGGTTTTTTTTTGGGGTCACTTCTCTCAAAATCTTTGTAGATTTTCTGCCTCCTATAATGTTATAGAGCAATAATGAAGTCCGATGTGGATTACAGTTTAGCTGCTACAGTGCTAAAATGCGTTTCCATTTAGGCTCACGGGCCCACTCTATACGTGCTATTTTCATCTTCTTCAAAATGCTAGCCTGGCATTTTTACACAAGGCTCATTTGTTTCTAAAAAGGAAACGCATACACAGATATCCACAGCTGTAAAAGCCTGGAAGAGTTGTATTCATGCTTTAAAATGGGAAMGCAAAGATGAGCAGCTTCCAGACACTTTATAATTAGTAAACAATGSCACGGCCTGTTCTTGTCCCAGAAGTAGGACATGACCAAATGAACTCTTCCCTTCTTAGCAGTGCACACCAGGGCTCTGAACGGGGCTGCTCCCCGGAGCAGACAGCAGACAAAGAAGGTAAGTGGTGTCACAGGCGTGGGAGGGAGCGGGGTAAGGAACATAAGATGTAGAGCAAAGCTGTGAATTTTGCTCCTCGCAATCTGCTGCTGCCGAGCACAGCTGCCAGCAAATGGCCCCAGACAAAATTGTTTATGACTTAAAACTTGCGTTGTCCTCATTTGTGGCTCCCCAGACTTACCGAGACAGGGATTAAAACTAAACATCAGGAAGGCATCGCCTGCAGGGCAGCGGAGGGAGGCAGGGCCTGCACAGCGCTGGGCAACATTTAAGGTGGCGATGCTTTAGTGCAGGTGGAGCAGCGCTGAACAGCACGGAACGGCAAGGGGCTGCATCGAGCATTGCTGGGGATCCCTGCTGCAGCCCTGCCTTAGCACGAGCTGCGTTACCGGCGTCCAAAGGTTTGAGGACGAAAGGACGTGGAGAAAGAGGTGGATAGCGAGAATACCTTAACCCCGCAATTCGCTCCCGCCCAGCGCCTGCGCCATGGCTGCGGCCCGGCACCAGCATGGCTGCGGCCTGGGAGCGCCGCTGTGTGCTCAGCGCCTGAGGGATGGCCTGGAGCAGGTGAGGGATGGCCTGGAGCAGGTGATGGATGGCCTGGAGCAGGTGATGCCCGGGAGCAGAGCATCCCCCATCTCCCCCGCAGCTTCCCGGGGCAGCCCCTGGTGGGACAAGGCCCCTCGGCCGCCCGGTCCCGGTCCCACATACGGGCGGGGCCTCGCTGGCTCTGCGTGTCCCTGTGCGCGCTGCCGGGGCGTGCTTGTGTGGCCGAGGTTTGGACTGCGTTATTTATTTGATTTTATTTTTAAAAAAACTAGCCGGGGGAAAAAAAAAAAAAGGCCTTGTCGTGATGGTGCTGTGTTTCTTGCAGTTCCTCTCCACGAACTCTTCATATTCATCAGCGTTGGGACACATCTGGACACAGTGAAGCCGTGCTCACCTGAGTACCTTTAAAAGTTACAGTAGTAACCAAGGCAAGTATAGAAATGTGCTTGTTGCTTCTGGTAACTCTTTAGCGTTTTCTTAAGGAAAAAATAGCTGCGGTTTCCTGTGTAAAATAAACTGCAAACTTGTTAGCACTTTCTGAGAGGTTTTGCTCTATGAAGATGCTGTCGTTGAAGGAGACATTTGTGAGTGCATGAACTTCACAGTGTGCAAAACTGTTTGGTCAGAGACATGCTAAAATGTCTCTTATGAAGATAAATTTTACAATGCCGGAAATGTAATCTATTTCCAGGACCTGGTTTAACATAGATGCGGTGCATACTTGACTTTTGAATGGTGAAYACTCAGAACTGATGAAATTATCAGTGGCATAAAGATGAGACGTTTTTAAATCTTCAGGAATTGGTGGGAGGAAAGATGTCTTTACTAAATGCTTGTGAAAACCAAGGTGTTTTTTAAATATTTTTTTGATCTGTCAACTTTCTGTACAAACTTTTTGGCCTACGGTATATAGAATGTGTGCTTTTTTTTTTTTTTTTTTTTAGGATAAGTGAGTATTGACGTCCTTCAGAATGCCCAACACCAATGCTAAACTTCGCTCTAACCACAGGGGTGGTCGGGAAGCTAGCAGACGGGAATTGGTTTCCAGATCTTTGCAGAGTGCTCAGCATTGCCTGGAGAACCAGGATTTTGGAACTGCATAYGCTCACTATCTCCTGGTACTAAATCTAGCTCCTGAGTTAAAACCTACTGTCAAAGTAAGTGCTCTTCAAATAAATTAAAATTGTATTTATTGTAATTCCCTTGAGGCAACATGTTTTGTATTTGTGATTTGTTACATGTAACTGATACCTACTTTTATTTTGAAGATGGAATTCGAAAATCAGTAATAAGTGGGGTGGCCAATGGCTTCTTTGATAGTTCTGTATGCTTATATGAAGGGAGTTTATATAATCTTCTTCTATAATCTTCTCAGAATGTGTCAATCACATTTAATAAAAATAGGGCCTTGTTGGTACTGGAACATGCATTAATATACATGCAGGCTCTCAGTAAACACTGGTGGGTGCTGATCCTCCTTTGGATGTGCAGATGTATGTCAGGTAACCTAGAAGTTTTCAGGGCTCAGTTCCCTCCTGGTAACTCCCAGCACCTCAGTGGTCAATGCTTTATTTTCTAGGAAACATTTCAGTTTACTCTCTTTAAATGGGCAGAAGAACTGGATTCTCTGGCACGGATTCAAGATCTGTTCAACTGCTATGAGCAAGCACTTGAACTGTATCCCARTGATGAAGTGATCTGTAATAGTATGGGAGAACATCTCTTCAGGTTTGTAGTGATGCCTATTCAGTTTTTGTAAGGTTCATGTTGTAAATGAAAGCATGTTTAAATCTGTTTGTCTTAAATAGCTTAAAAAGAGGAACCAGTGGTAAAATAAATGTTTGTAGTCACAAAAGAAGTAAAAAAAAAATACCCAAACCACCACGTTTGGCTGTTTCTCAGGTCTGATCCTGGAATTTTAAGACTGAAGTCATAGGTTGTATTTCAAATGGTTTTAATTAGGTTTGCTTTTTGTCATTACTTWCTTTGTCTTATAAGAACACATTTCTAAGCATTGTATTAAAATGTATATATATATATATTTGACAGATTTCAGGCTTTTTTCAGTGCTGTGTGATTTGAGAATATGCTATAGGTATTGTAAAAACTTGATTCAAATTCAGAATTTGGTTTCCTTCGGTTTCTTTCCATTTTTTAAAAAAATTGTCGCTTAATGCAAGAGCTGGCAACTCARAATTTGGTGGGTTTGCAGGAGGTTCCAGTTAAATATAGTTTTGGGGTTTACAGCATTCTCTCAMATTGAATCTGTGAGACTGGATTGCAGAGCTTCTACTGTCATGTTGTTGCAGTGAGTTCTTGTAAATAAAACCTGTTTTACTTTGTCAAAGGATGCAYTAGTGGATGAATGTAATGGTATTTTTGAACTGGCTTTGCATTTTACAGTTTCTTGATGTAAAGCTGTAAGTCATTGTTTTTCATAAAGTAATGCCAATGTTTCTAAAGATAATCTTCCTAACTAATGCAAAATATTTCTATTGTCTTTTAGCTGACATAAGACCTCTTTACAGACCCTCAGGTGTTTACAGCTGCATGCATACTTTCTATTTTTGCTCTTAGAATGGGCTTCAGAGATGAAGCAGCTGGATATTTYCATAAAGCAGTGAAGCTCAACCCCGACTTTGCTGATGCCAAGGAGAATTTTTACCGYGTTGCAAACTGGCTGGTGGAACGCTGGCACTTCATCATGCTCAACGATGCCAAGAGGAACCTCACCTACCTCAAGGCCATTGAGAATGCTGTCCACTCAGGGAGCACGTCTGTCCTGGATATTGGAACAGGAACAGGAATTTTGAGGTATGCCACAAGTGCACATTGAACCTGAATTTAACAACGAAGTATTTGTTGTCTGGAAAAATTTGGCTGACAGTGGAAAAAATAACTACTTTGATCCTTTTATGGGGACAAAACTTAARAAAGCATCAAAGCTTTCAGAAGCCAGTGAGTCTGGAGATTAGTGTCTGGTAGTATTTTTTGAACCTTTTTTTGTTATTTGTTGCGGATGCTTTTTATGCCATTAAATGCTGTATAAATTGAATTACTCACATTGGTTTTGAAGTTGTAAATGTTATTTGTCTTGTCTTCAAATATTGACTCTTTAGAGTGGATTCAGCATAGCTGGGGGAGTGTCCTTACGCTAACTGTGGTGGTTTTTTTGTTGACAACATATCAGGAGGATAACAACTTGTGCMATATCAGTGTTCACACAAGATACTAGTTAATTTAATGATTTTTAGACTTGAACTGATAGCAATATGAAGGAGGTATGGAGGAGGGAAAATCCCCTGATTCTTGTTTTTCAGTATGTTTGCAAAAAAGGCGGGAGCATCTTTTGTCTATGCCTGCGAATTATCCAAAACCATGTATGAACTTGCCCRTGATGTGGTGGCAGCAAATAATATGGAAAGAGAGATCAAACTTCTGCACTTGAAGTCACTTGATATAGAAATTCCGAAGCACATTCCTGAAAGGTGAGTTGTTGCTTTCTCATATGGTATTTTGAATTTGCTGTTAATTTCAAGAAAATAGGAAATSCCTTGTGACCTAAACAAGAAATAACACTGCTAGCAGCACCTTCCTGATGTGTGAAGATACTCTGTATCTTTCATGTGTTTAAAGAACAGAAATGACATGTTCTTCAGATCATACTGATTTCTATGGTAGATAACACTGCCGTAAATTACTTTGTGGGAGCTTTGGGGCATGTGTAATTATATTGCAGCAACAGGAAAAGAGAAATTAGATTACTATGTCAAACAAGTAATTTYAACACACTTTTATACTTTTAACATCTTGTGGCTCACTTCTGCAGCCTTTGAAAAGGATGGAGTTACTAACATTTAATAAAGTGTCTGGCAWCAGTAGAGGCTCATGATCTGAAATAATGAAGCTCCTGGTTTAGGCCAGCCAAACCTTGTCTAATTTGTTTGCTTGTCAGCTGTGCTACAGTAACATATGTATCCTTTTAGAGTATATAGTGAGTTACTAGATGTTACCTATTAATAAATAAGTTACTGCTATTCTGGAAGTGTCTTCTCTTGTTATGCTGTTTTTTGGTTTAATTCCAGAGGATTTAAGATTTTAAGGTTGTTAGTCTGTGTAGGATTTTTTTTGTACTTTGATTATAGTTTTAGGGTTTTTAATTTCTTTTTGTACATATGCACTGATACATACTATTGCACAAAATATGTATTTTGCAGTATCATTGGCTGCATGCCCAGGCTGAAACATCTTCCTGTTTTGGCTAGATTCTTCCCACACAATTTATTTATAAATGCTGAGCAAGAAGCTTTACAGTAAATTCTTGCTCAATATTTGCTCTCTTTTATCTGCATCTTCAATAACTTCTAACAACAATTCAAAACACGTAATTTTTTTTAAGTATTAAATTGCCCACACATACTGAAACTCCAGAGTGCTGGTAAAAGTTCTGCACTGAGCTCATATTGGTATGGTGGGGTTTTTTCTTTAAAAGAATGATTGATTGTTGACAGGAGTGTTTGTTATACATTATATTTCATGGTATTCTTTTTCTTTTTTAGAGTTTCCTTGGTTGTCACAGAAACAGTTGATGCTGGCTTATTTGGAGAAGGAATTGTGGAGAGCCTGATACATGCTTGGGAACACCTGCTTTTACAACCAAAGGTAGGTGGTGTGTGTACTGTGCATGTCCACACATTCCAGACATTTGAGAATGAGAAACAGTTGTCTTGTAAATATTTCATTCTTTTTGGTATGCTAAAAATGAGTCATCTGGGCTTGTTCCATGAATTCAGTTTTGGTGAGTAGCAATGAGGCAGCACATAAATAGTACTTTTGTGAGCTTGTGTTCTGAGTAAAAACATATTTGCAAAGCATTTTTCCCTGAATGTAACCTTCACAGATGATTCAGCCTTAATCACTGTTCATTCATTTTCTTTTGTATCTTTTCTGTCCTCCATCTTCATAAGTAAGGCCAAATGAGTTTGTGTGGTTTTTAAACACACTGTTTTCCTGCAAGTTTGATAACTACCTGGTCATTTTGAGATACCAACTAGTAGCAGARAGTCATGTCAGTCAGTCTAAGTAGAAAATGCTGAGTTATGGTGGAATTATTTCTCATTGTAATACTAGGGAACACTCAGAATTTGGTACATATGCCATATGTTTATGCTATTAATTTGTTTTTGTTTGTTTGAGCCTTTTTGGAAGACTGAGCAATTCCCCTGGGTCTCAGAATTTACTTTATACATTTTGTGGTTTTGCTAGCATACATTAAGCAAAGTAATATGACAAGGAGTCTTACATGGGTTAATTTCTGTTATGTTTAAAAAAAATAGAACTTCTCTTTATTTTGTCCTTGCCTTGATTTCAACTCATTTAATAAAAGTTTCAGCTGGCTGAAACCTTTTGTGTTGCATTGACTTGAAACTGATGACCTCTAGTGGTAAGTATAGGAATGATGCACAAAGGAAAAGTCTTCGAATGGTTCAATGTATTCTAGTCGAATACAAATTAAAATACAGTGTTAAAGTTAGAGTTATACAGAAGAAGTAGTAGATTGGAAAGTAAAGCTGATGCCTGGTTATATTGAAACACTGTATTTAAGAAATTCCTTTAATGATCGAGAGAATGYCAAAGATCAGGGACTTCACCAGTAGCTAAGAGTTTAGTGAGGTTTTGACTATCACTTGAWTGGCTCACTAGTATGTAACTTGGGTTTTTCAGTAATGGTAAAAATAGGCCAGAGTCTCATTGCATGATGCTGTTTGTTTTCACAGCCTAAAAACCAAGACATCAGTGCTGGAGAGTATGGCAGAGTTATTCCTGCAAGTGCTACGATATTTGGGATGGCAGTGGAATGCAAAGAGATACGTAAACATCACAGGTGTGTTTAACTCCAGCACAGCTTGAACCTGTATTTTGTTTTTGAGAAGAGAGACTTCTTGTTTTTATTGATTATTTCTCATTTGCTGTGCTCTTTATTTTTTGAATGGCTGATTACCTGTTTAACTAAACAGATTTTGGTACTCGCCCTTCCCATGCCTTTTCCAGGTTCTCCTTGGATTTTGGGGTTTTTTTTTGTTGGGTTTTTTGATTTTGTTTGTTTGGGTTTGTTTTATTGGGGTGCTTTGGTTTTTTTTTTCATTTGTTTGGTTTGGGGTTTTTTTGTTTCTGGTGGTTTTAGGGTTTTTTGTTGTGGTGGGTTGTTTGTTTTTCGGTTTTGGTGTGTTCTGGTTGGTTGATTGGGCTTTTGTTTGTTTTGTGTTTTTTGTTTTCTGCTAACCTCCCTACCACTTTGAGGTTCAGATTTTCAAGATCCCTTAATCATGCAGTTATGATAGTCACAGATAATCATACAGTTTAGATATGCCTCTAAAACATACTAAGGAAATTTAACTCCTTTGTAGTAAAATTACTTCTCAATTTCTGTACTAGAGATTCTTGGAATAATGCTTGGCTTTATAATCTGCTCCATACCTCGCTTCTGGATCTAACCATTCCGGGATTGTGTAAAACCTAAGTGTTGATAACTTCAGCTGTCATTATCTGTTTGAATGTCCTTTGCCTAAATCTGAATTGGCATACAATGGGGCTTCTTTGGTGAGAACAGTTCTGACTGTGTTTTGATTACTTTCATATGTATTCTCATCTTGTAGAACAGTATCACTATATGGAGACAGTCTCTGTCTGAGAGGTTTGGACTTCATATATTTTTGTTTAGGACTAATATTGTTGTAGATTAGAGAAAATACTAACTTTTACAGGAGCTTCAGGGCACAGGATGAAAAGTAGCCAGGCTGTAGCAGTGATTTTTCTGATGCAGCAGACCTGGAAAGTGGCCAGAAAGAGACAGAGGTTCTCATGGTAGATGGTCACAGAATAATTTCTTTTAGAAGTTAATTATTCATTAATTAGAAGAGGTTTTGCCTTGAWACAGGGCATTGACTGTTCCTTACAAAATTTAAACAGAATGGAAGTTAATGTGCTCTTAACTTTGGATTGTAGAATTGGCATTCCCTTTTAATAGCTTAAGGTCAGGTAACTGGCAGGACTGAAGTGATTGCCACAAGTTAATTATATGCTGTAGAAAAAAACCAAGAAATTAAATTTCTTGCCTTTATCATTTGCGATCCCTTTTTGCTCCAGTAAGAATATTTTAAGACTGTTTTAACAAGTCCTGTTTTTATGTAAAACACTTGCTGTTCTCATATTTGAACTATGCAGATCTCTTTGAATTATTCTGATGTGCATGGCTTCCCATTTCCTCAAGTGTTTTCACATCTACAGGTAACCTTCAGAGTTTGGATGTTTTTTCTGAGCAGGAGGCTTAACGAAATAGCACTGTGGAAGTATCTCTTTTCTCATGATTTTTCTATCATCTAGCACAGTTTCTGCCTTGTACAATTAATACAACTTTTCTTTGAGCTTTCCTCATTATTTATTTTTTTTTAGTGGTTAGAAGTAGATGTAGAGCCCAAAATTATATGAATATATGAGTTTTTTTCCTTGAAGTACATTTAAAAGTGTGTTTAGGTTATCATCAAACACTGATTCACCTTACTGAGAGAGGGAATCCTCTTTCAGTCCAGTTGTTGATAATCTTGTATATCACAGTCATCTCTCTGTGTCTGATCTGATCTTCTACGTTGCTTATGCTCTGGTATTGGTTTTTTTTTCCTAGGATATAGTGAAATACTTARCATCTACTGGGGTTTTTCTTAGTTTCTGGTGACAGCATTCAGTTCTGATTCTTGAAAGTGAGGTGGGGTTTTTTGTGCTTTARAGCTGCTCTGCACATGATGAAAACCCCACAGAATTGATTTAGTATTTTGTAGCTTCTCTATTCTAACGCTCCATACATTTTAAAACAATTAGTTAGCCTACGGAGAATTTCCTTTAGGTTTTTGATCAAATGACTYKGAATTTCATTTCTCATCTTTTTGCYTTTACTCCCAGAGTGGGAATGCAAGAAGTTGCTGGTGTGTGCTTGTCAAACTCAGTGCAGTTCTTCAGTCCCACATATGCTGCTGCTGGCTCAGAGGAAACTGTGGAGCCCTACACCACYGAGAAGCTCAGTCGTATWCCTGGGGGCTACAGACCCCTGACAGAACCCTGTCAAGTCATGACAGTAGATTTCAACAATTTGCAGGTAATGATTTTTTTTACATCCTTCATAAGTAATCATTTTATGATAATGAAAGTCCCATATCATTTGCTTTTGAGTTCAACCTCAGAACAGTTCACAAGTGCAAAATGGCAGGGCTACACTGAAATCATCTGCTTTTGATGCTTCTCCTGTTATTTGGGATGTGATTCATCAGATGACAGTCTGTGATTTTTTTGAAGATGGATTTTTTTTCTGTTGGGCAGAGTTTAGGGAACTTTATAAACTATCTATCTCACCAGAAGATCAAACAGCTACCAGCTTCAGTACAGGGAGGGGGAGAAAGGATGCAAGAGATCCACCTTAAATGATTTATGCAGTTGTAGAGCTCACTTAGTTTATTCCTCTAAAGTTAGTCTTCAAGAAACTCTTGAAAAGACAGGAGAAAGGATGAGTTTTACATAAAAATGTAAAACTGACATAAAAATGTGTTGATGGATGAGTGTAAAAGAGGAGATGAAGAAATTATCCTATTCAATGAGTGTGCTTCAGCTCCTTTGTATCTTAGGTATAAAAGGCCATTCTAAAACCTAGTAGCATTATTTTGTGCATTTCACACAAAATACATTTGTAGGTGTATGCTAAGTAGGCCTGACCCAGAAGGCAAGGAGMTCAGCCCCCTGCAGCTGAGCATTCTAAAAAGATGATACATCTGATCTCTGGTGTSCTTCTTGCTCATTGACTTGTGGTGAGGAGCTAGCACTGAGTCAGAGCTTAAAATAGATTCTGTTATATAAATGAAATTATTCTTGGCTKCTGCTTGGCCAGGAGTTGCAGTTTCTGAATCAATAGCTTTTCCTAGTTGGCTTGTTTGACATCCTGAGATTAAAAATGAAATAAGACAAGGCTYTTCAGTATACCACTAGGAGCAATCTCTGTGACCTAATGTTGCTTCTTTTTCCAGCATCATTAAGAAACTGTTGCTCTCATCTGAGAGATGTTCTTAAGCATCTGCCTGCTGGCAAACATGTAAAGATAATTTTAAAGAGTAAAGAACASTGTTGCTCTTTAAATCATGTTTCAGAACTGCTCCTTTGAAGTTTCAGTTAGACTAATGGAGTGTTCTTGTCATGAAATGTTGAGATACCGTAAGTTAAAAGGAAGAAATGCCACCGTTRTGAATCACTGATGTGGTTGGTTACTGTTTGTTGTTACTTTGTCACTGGGCAAATGTGGCAGTTCCAAACACTGGTAGGTTACTTTCAGCATGAGTTTTTTTGGTTTGTTTTTGTTTKGGGGTTTTCAGGGCCACACCSGGATATKCAATCAGCGCAGCTAAAAATGAGAAAGAAAAATTGTCTCTGTTCCTATTGTAGTAAGGAAAACACCCTGCTAGACTTAAAAACAGTATAGCAGAATTACCTACTAAGGACAGAAATTCAGGTAAGAAATCACTAGCACTAGTGAGGTAGTTCATAAGACCCATTTTCTAAACTCCTGTTTTAAAGCACTAGAGGGATACTGCATTTATTCTGCTTATGCTAACTAGCCAGACCTAAGCAGACAGAACTGAGAGCAGAGTTTAAAATACAGTACAATGTTTCCTGAACTGAGTTGTAGGAGGCTTCAAAGGCATCAGTACAGATCAGAGAAATAATAAGTCAAATTTCACAAATAATAACAATTTTTATAAAGCAGCTGCTTAAYGCTGATTACATTTATTACTGCTGTTACTAGCAGCAGCAGTTCAGTCCCTCCCAGGCAGGGGAATGAGGTGTGGCTGTAATTACAGGCTGTAGGCACTTGCACCCAGCCAGGTAAGTGCCCGTGTGCATGTTTGCTGGCAGCAGATCAGTGCCACTGGCAGGGGAAGTGTTTACCTCTGCAGCCAGTAATTAAAGCTCAGTCTCACTTTCAGRCCCTAAAGGAACTATGCTCTTGCCAATAGTTACAGATTTTGGCTCTTTATATTTCTTCATGAGAAGTTGTGGTGTGGAATATGTGAGAAATTGTGGATCAAGACATAGGACATTTGAWAAATGCTTTCTTTCTGTAGTTTTTCCTTCTGTTTGTGATCCCATTTACTACTTTTAATGCAAGTTACCTCTTTCCCATTTTGAGGATATGTGTGGCATTATCATTTAAGGGTTTTACTATCTATTCTTGTGTCATTGCTTTATTTTCTTTGCTCTCTCTTAACAAGACTACTTGATGAATTGCCATTCTGATGTGCTATAGCTGYTCAAATCTGTAATTGTCATAAATAATAGAAGAAGGTTTATAAAGTGGTTAATGTGAGGAATAAATATGGGTTAAGCAGCATGGTTGAAAGCAGGGAAAACTGAAATAAGCCTTCAAATGGGTTTTTAAGTGGTGGCAATGTAACACTGCAGTTACTAGAACCCACTGGATGAGAAGCTTGGGCTTGCTGCTTTTGAGAAATAATGAGGAAGGATATTTTTAAAATCAAATACACTTCTAAACATCTATAACTTCCTAGAAACCAAGAAATAGATGCATGCTTGTGCTCTTGCTCTCTTGCTTCAAGGGGCTTGATGCCAGCAAAGCTTCAACTTACTACTTTTCCTCAGTAGCTGAGAAAGTACCAGAAAAAGGATTAGCAGCACAGCACTTTTATTGAAGAGCAGTGAGATCTTGACTGTGAACTTTCTTAGCATCCAGTAATTTTAATRTGTCCATTGTTTAGCCATCTCTCAGTGGTGAGAAGGAGGATAGACAAGCTCTTGGAGAACACAGAATGAAGAGGGAAAAAKAAAAAATCCTGCATGTGACAGCTACTCATGTCCTCAGAATGGAAATTTTCTGCCATTCGTATTTTAAGATTGAAACTTAAATAGGACAGGTGTTGACATAAGCAGATCAGGAAGTTGACAAATGTTGTGGAAGGGCTATCATTAAGCTGAATGGTTGTGACTGAGAGAACCTTTGGTCCCTTGTGCTTGACCTCCTGTTGATTGGTTTGTGCCAGAACTAAGATATTAATATTGGTTCTTTTATGCTTGTGAATGTTGGTAGCAGAAAGTAATTCCTCAGAAAAATAAATTATACATGGAAAAACACTAAATTCCTGTTACATATTCAAAACTCTTTAGGAGTATTGGAGAATTTATAAATGATCCCTTTAGGGTACACCTTAAGTTCTTCCCAGTAGTGAAATTGTACATATCTGAGCTTTTGCACAAGGCCTACAGCCCAGGTAGCAGTGAAAACATCCTCAAAAGTATCTGACTTACTGGTTTTATACWGATTTTGCAAGCCTGTTTGAGAAAATTCAGTGCTTGCACACAGTATTTCTAGAACTGATTGAACACAGGTTTTAAGTGAAACATGTACCTAAGCATTGGCTTGAGTCCAGCCAGAAGACTGGCTGTTTTTATTACTTCTCATAAGGCAAGCCYTGCCAGTCTAAAGTATTTCTTGCAGTTTTTAGTGGTTTTAAATGTGTGTGTTCTTAGATGTAGGCGTGTTTGCTGTTATGGCTCATGGATGCAGGTTGTCCATGTGGGAAGTGGCACTTGCATGTGGGAACACAGTTCCTATGCCTGTGAGTACTATTGCTGATAATTGGTATTGTAGAGGCTTGGTAACTCCAGGGTTTTGCTGGATGCCGTCATGGATTGCTGCAGAAATTTTAGGTGACTTAGTTTAATAAAACCAAACTTTTATTTATGGAAATAAACTCTCACTTTTTTTTTCCTTTTTCTGCTTTGGTCAGGAGCTGAAAAGCCTGGCATCTAGAAAGCCCTGGAAGCTTAGCCTGCCAGTCACTGAAGGAGGAATACTGGATGCTGTTGTGGTGTGGTTTGTACTACAGCTTGATGATGAGCATGCTCTGTCTACAAGTCCCAGTGAGGAAACTTGCTGGGAACAGGCAGTGTATCCTGTGCAGGGCCTCCTCGGTACGTCCTGTGCATTTGCTTGTTGTGGTACTTTAACTTGGTTTCATTTTGGTTTTGAGCTGGTTAGCTTATCTCAGAGATGGGGAAGTCAAAACAGGTTTAGAAGTACAACAGCAAGTAGCTGTGAGGTGGTTCCTGATCATGTTTCTGGTCTGTAATGCACAGTTCCTGCATCAGGGCTTGTTTCTGGGACTGCTGTGAAGCAGATAAGATCTGGGAAAACACTTTTCATTAAGTTGGGTTTTTTTTTTTTCCTATAATGAGTTTAATGTGTTGTGGAGCAACTCCAAAAAGTGGGTCTACTGACTGGATCACTCAGTGAACATGTGACTTAGGAAAGGGAGCTGGGGAAGGTGAGGTAGGAATTGCTATCTTGTACTGCCACAAAACCAAAACAAATCATTCCTGCCTACCCGTTGCCCMATTTGGGATTCAATTTGAATAACAATCTCCACATACAGGGATTGGCAGTGTCATTTTCAGGAGAGTCTACTCTCCATTCACCCACTTTTTATTYTCCTGTTTTCTAGAATCTTAGAGTATCTCAAGCTCGAAGAAATTCATAAGGATTATAGTCYAGGTTCCTGCTTCTCAAAGGATGACCTAAATTAAATCACCTAAGAGCACTGTCCAGGTGTTGTTTGAACTCTGGCAGGCTTAATACTGTGATTACTTCTCTAGGGAACCTGTTCCAGTGACTGATAACCCTGTGGGTGAAGCACCTTTTCATAATGTCCAAGATGAACTTCCCTGATGCAGCTTCATTCCATTTCCTTGTCTCAGAGAGAGAAGTTGAGCACCTTCCCTTCCTCTGCCACTCTTGAGGGGATTTTAGACTCTGATGAGATCTCTCCTCAGCCTGATCTTCTCTAGGCTGAACAAAACAAGTTCCCTCAGCTGCTCTTCCTAAGTCTTGCCCCAAGGCCTTTCTCTATCTTGGTCACTCTCCTCTGGACACACTCTAATGGTTTGATGTCCTCATATTGTGGCACAGATATGAACAAGTGAGATAATGGGGTGGGTGGTTTGGTTGGCTGTTTTGTTTTAAGCACTGTATGGCTGTTTCAGTGGTAAGTTACTGTAAAGTAACTGTAAAATAACTGACCTGACTTTTTTATGCACTTTTGCCAAGATTATTCTGTGAAGACTGGAGATACTGTGATGATGGAAGTTTGCTGCCAAGACTGCTACTTGAAGATCCAGAAGATTTCTTCTTTGCCTTCAGAGTGTGGGATGGATTTCAGTGACAGAGACGACMTGCTGAGTTTGGGCAATGAGGCTGAATTATGTAATGCTCTGGCTGGACTTCAGACAAGCACCAAACAGGATGGCAGCACTCCAGTGTGTGTGTTGGAATCCACAGAAATAGCTCTGCTCAATGACGTACCCTAYCACGAATGCTTTAAAGCTGCCATGAGCAAAGTGCTGCTCTCATTAAATCCAAGTAAGGACTTGCACTCCATGGATGTTGATGGACACGGCAGTGGGATAAACCTCCAAGAGAATCAAAACAAAASCTCTGTGGATGTGGATCCTGATGCTTTGTACGTTTTAGATGTATCAGAAGGCTTCTCCATTCTGCCAATCATAGCTGGCAAGCTTGGACCAGTTAGAGCYTACAGTTCTGTTGAGAAAGAACAGCATCAGGCAGCACTTCATGTCATTGCAGAAGCAAACCATTTCCCTAAGGAAACTTTAGAGTTTTGGCTCAGCCACTTGGAAGAAGAAAGTGTGGTGCTACAGAGACCCAAATCAGACAAATTGTGGAGTATTATTATCTTGGACGTTATAGAGCCATCAGGTTTAATCCAACAGGAGGTGATGGAAAAGGCTGCAATATCCAGGTACTGTATTAATAGACACAAGTATTTGTTGGAATTTGTAATAATCTGAAAATTTTGGAAAATATTCTTTGCTACTACAGAATTGCTGTCATGTTGTTTCTGTAGAAAATGTTTATTTCCTTGAATGGATGGAACCTCACACTGTTTCTGGCATGACCACTGTATATGTTATATTTAAAAAAAAAAATCAAGATTTCACTGTCTCTGATTCCTCCTTTTTTAGGTAAGAATGTGAATGGATGATCATATTCCTTGGTCTGTCAGAAGTTTGCAGGATAGCAAGTAATAACCAAGGTGGCTTTTAGTGCAAGGTTAGAAAAGCCCAGATTCATGTATGTGTCAAACAGCCGTCGAAACAAACTGGTCCTGCTAAAAGACAAGCACATAGTGTTAGAACAGCCAGAGAAGCAGCAGCAAAGCTAGCTGTTCCTCACAACAGGAGGAGTAAGAAAGAAAGCAGAGAAGGAGAAGTAAAATAATGGAAGTGGGTAACTAAGTGTGAGATGGATTTATCCCCTTTTGTGGGGCTAGGAAAACTTCTCTGTTAATCTTCATGTGCAGCGATGGCACATTATGCTGAGGAGCCCTTGACTTCAGAGGAAGAACTGGCACACCTTTCTTAAATAGTAGTTACTGTTCTTTCATTACTGTTGATTGATCAGCTTTACAGGTGAAATCTCTCTCATTTCACAGATGTTTACTTCACAGTGGAGGGAAGATTTTCCCACAGTATGTGTTGGTATATGGGATGCTTGTAGAATCGGAGTCTCTGTTACTGGAGARTGCTGTTCAAGGAACAGAACCAACTCTGGGATTTAATATAGCTCCTTTTATCAACCAGTTCAAGGTATGAAGCTGGTGGGTGGCTTCCAGTCCTGGTTTCAAAGCTGCAGCTGTTTAGCTGTTTAGATTTGGGGTAAACTGTACAAAAACACTGTTGAAATTATCAAGAGAGGTTTATGTGACCACACAGAGACCTTGAGATAAACTAAAATGTGTGATGTTTGTTTTAGAACTGGTGTGGAAGTTTTGTCCCAGTTACTGTACTGAAGAGTGACTGTGCTGTTGTTGTTCCCAGTCAATTGTATTCCAATATTTCAAAAGGGATCAGAGGGGGATTTTGCATTTTTGCCTCTGATCAGCATTGCATTAATTCCTGACAACTTTTGTGTTATGATTAAGTTTTCTACCTTTTCCCTTTGTAATGGCTRTTGCTGCCTGAAGTTCTGGTCTATACTCCTAGGTACCTGTCCGTGTGTATTTGGATCTCTCCACGTTACCCTGTGTACCCCTGAGCAAGCCAGCAGAGCTCTTAAGGCTGGATCTTATGACCCCTCCGCTGAACTGCCCCAGCAGAGAAGTGAAGGTGAGTTGTGGGACCCATAGTTCTGCAACACTGTTCCTTAATTGCTATAGTGAGCTGAACATTTCAATACAGGATTTACTTGTCTGCAGGTATCTCTGAAAATGACTGAAATGGCTTGAACTACTTCCTTTCCAAAGAACAAAATAGTAACTGATTATTATTTTAAATATTTTTAGGTACAAATTTGTAAGTCTGGCCGAGTTACTGCCATTCCCTTCTGGTATCACATCCATCTGGATGAAGACCACAGCTTAAACACATCTGATGAGTCCTCACACTGGAAACAAGCTGCTGTTGTTCTTGATGATCCCATCCCAGTTCAGGTTGGAGATGAACTTGTACTTGATGTCCAACACCATAAAAGCAATATCAGCATTACAGTGAAAAGGTGAAGAAGGTCCTGTGTGGAATGATTTGTGCTTAATTACCTATGCATAAAATGAATCTTCATAACAACACCGCTGCTACTTTGTATTAAAGTCTAAATTTTATTTACTGATGAAAAAGCCTGTTTTGTTGCTTTAATAATAGATATTTAGGTTCCACTGGCAGACTAAAATGCACTGTATTTTATCAAGCAGTTTTATATTTTATCAAGCAGTTAGAGGAGGCATTGTCTTCACTGCAGCAAAAAGCTACCAGGTCAGCTGTAGTGAGGAAACAAAGCCTCCAGTTGCCTGTACCAGAAACAGACAGCTGTGGCTGGGATGGAGTCCTTATTTCTCAAACTGTAGTTCCACTTCTCCATTGCCAAAGCACCCTACCTCAGTTTATTGAGATGTGAGCCTTGTAGGCCTGAACGGCATTCCAGCTGCAGTATCACAGTTCAGTGCTGCAGGGTAACTCAAGCTATATAATGGAAGGTAAAACTGGTAAACATTTTAGAATCCCCCAGATAATTATTTCTGGGAATAYAATGGGCCTGAACTCATCTGTATGAAAGGTATATGAAATATGTATGCATCAGTGACCGCAGTACTCCTGACTATCATCCACAGCATTATGTCTTGGTATAATGCAGGTAACCARTTCCTTCTATTAAATTTGTATCCAAGTGGAAGACTGATAAAAGCTTTGAACTSAGCACTTACTCTACCTTTGTAGAGAGGAGGAAGACTCTTACTAAGAGTTTTCTGTAGCTAAGCTGCTTTTTACTGTGCTCTCTGTTCAATGGACGAGAGACAATTCTGTGATCTTTCCTTAAGAGCAGCCTGTATAAAGAGCCATCCACAAATGATTTTTCTAAAATTTCAGTGCCTGCTAAAGTCATTATACACACTTTATTAGGGCAAATGTTTCAGATAATTTAACTTATTTCTATCTATTTCTATTTCTTTTTAYCAAGTCTGCTCAATTTAACTTTAGGGACCATTAGAGTTGAGGTTGTTCCAGCCTCAGCTGAACCTGTACCTGATAAATTGCTGTAATAAAGCTTCTTTTAGAAGGGTCAACGAAAGGTCTCCATTTTATTTTACTACAAAACGGAGACACAAAATGAGGTTTTCTGAAGATAAAATAACTGGATACCATCCTTTATGCAAGGGGTACAATGCATAACAAGATGCAAGTGAATTGTAGAGTAGGACAGAGGCTCTTCATGTTGCATAGAGAACAGTATTTCTTCAACCATGGTCCATAAAATTTTAAGTTACTATCTGACACAGCTAAACCTGGCAGGTGCGTAGCAATTTCACCAGAGTGCAGTTTTATAGAGAAGTATTTAARTTTCTTGTGCAAGAAGACCTGATAAAAGCAGAGACTTCACAGAGTGAGTTAGGTGTATTTATTAAGACTTTTAGCAACTAAGATGACAGCACAGATGACTTAGAGAAAAATTAGACACATTCAACTCCTTGAGTAAGGCAAGAGCAATCTTTAAGATTTCTGGTTTAAAAAATTGGGAGGAGATTTGGCATAAAAGAACAGAGGAATAAATATGGTTGAGAGGAAGATGAAYGATCTGCAAATGAACTTTTTATATAATCCTGATAAGTTGTGCTGTGGAAATACGGTGGTAGTGATTTTCAAAAGACAGGGTAGGTGTCATTGCAGGATTTCTATTTATTTTTGGAATCCCATAGCAGTCTTTAASGAAAGGTATGATCCTGTAAGTTATTGCAATTAAAAAAATAACTTTTCTCACAGAAAAAAAAAACCCAAACAAGCAGAAATCTTATACTGTGCAAATCAGATAACTGCATAATAATAAAATAGCTTTCCAGAAATATTCTGAAAGAAGCAACTGAGACTCTTAAACAGCTGTTATCCTATCAAGGTCCCCTCTATGCCTTACTGGTTTTACACCAAACAGACATAACTTTAAGTATTAGAATTCTTCAGTGTGAGGTTTCTGAAGAGCAGAGTAGCTACTCAGCTTCTAGCAGCCKTGACCTTCAGCTACTACTTCTACCCTTGCCCCTTTTTACCTGTACACTTGAAGGAAATGAGATTGTTTCTGGTAGTGGCTACAGTGKGCAATGCGTTGAGAACTTGTACAAGCTGTTTCCTTTTAGAGCAAAGCTATTACATGCATAAGGTGATACCTGGAATCAAGCATGGATAACTACATCTGATYCTTCGTAAGCCCAAACAATTCCCTTAGCCATAAAATACTGAAAGCACAAACTCTTATAGCAGTTCTACTTAAAATCCTCTTCTTACATGAGGACAATTGTAGTCACGTGTCATTCACACTCTTAAGTTACTGTAGCAGTAAATCAAAGTGATAGAAGGTGAACAGTTTAAATAAAATCTTTAATTGCTTATTTACAACAAAGGCAATGAGTTGGCAAATTGAAAATCATGATTTTCACTTTCTCACTAACTTCAGATACAGGAAGTACATACTCAGCTATAAAATATGCAGCCTAGTGAGTAAGGCGCAATATTTACATCACACTAGTACTGCAAAAAAAGCACTTAAGATGAATCTACTGACAGCCAGAAGTTAAACGTTTATCCTGGAAATGCTAACAATGCTGAAAAAGAAACTAAGATCTTGTAATTTAAAAAGCAGTGCTCTACTGGTTTGGTTGTTTTTTGTCAGATTGCAAACATGCAATAATAGTAAAAAACTGATAATGGGATAAAAACAATACCCCTCTGACACGGTCAGTTTTTGGAAAATAACATTTTGATACAAGTGTACTGCTTCTTGGGCTGAAATCTAGGCCTAGTAACTCCAGTATTAGAGTAGCTACATAGTTTCACCTCAGCAAAGGTCTCCTCTGGGGGAAAAAAACCAGCTATTGCATTTCAATCCAGGCTATACTAGAAGCATAACACAATCACACACAGACACAAATTTAAGAATACAAATTACTACAGACACAAGATACCCTGCTTTAACAGCTTAAAAAAAACTTAAGTGTTAAAGAACTTATTGCAGCCCAAAATAAAGAAATCAGTTTTGTTTTCTACTTCCTTTTGATATCCTTCATTCCCTCCCCCTCCATGTATTTTTATTATTCTTATTGTAGAAGGATAGGGAAAAGAATAGTCAAGTTAAAGAAATAATCCAAAACTCACCATCCTGGCTGTCTCTTCTGAATATAAAAGACTTACAAACTATGAGCTTCAAGGACAACAGATACACCAACCATCTGATCTGAGCATGGAATTTGRTAGCACAGCCTGTAGGGAATGTTTTCTTTGTAGAGGTTCTTTACTGATGCTCTGCAGTAACCGTCTTCATGAAGGGACTTGATTTAGCTACATAGGAATGGGAAGAAGGTGGCATCTGTACAGAAGTTACCRTTTCACCCACACTCCATTCAGCACAGGGTATGGAAGTTAACTGTCATTAAGACAAGCAAAATCAACACAAAGTTTTTGCTACTGCCTTCCTTAAATTACATTCTTGAAATTAAGCTTTCCCACTGCTAGTTATAGTTGCACTTCATTTTTATACGAGCAGAGGACTTTTTCAAATGCTTCTTTTGCACTAATGAAATTCAGTGTAATTTTGATATGATGTGGAAGCGTTTAGCAGTTTAAGGAGATGATGCTTAAATTTATGCAGAAACCTTTACAGTGTGCGTGTTTCATATCCATGGGGTACTCACAGATGCTCACATCCACTACAGATTCTGAATTCAGATGCCAGTTACAGCCATATCATATCCTCTTCCTGTCCACACAGCAGCTTTCCCAAGCTTTTCAACTTTCATCCTTAATAGTAAAYGTTAACAGGACACGTGTGGCAATCATGTAATAACTCCTTGACACATTCAAAGAAAAGGTGAGTTTAACTTTTATCCAAAGTTTTCTCTGATAAGTTGTTCTCTAGTTCTGGTGATTCCTCAGCATCCTGACTAGYAGAAGGRTTAAAAATCCCATCGACTGCRGGGACTGTCGTCGGYGTTGTGAGGGGKGTCACAGTGTGTCCAAACCCCTGATAGTGACCCATGGGTGAAGAYGGCATTGAAGAAGCATCAGAAATTGGGTCTTGAGTAGATGAAGACAGTAAACTTGTATGCTCATTTTGTTCATGATCCTCAGCAAAAAACATTTTTCTTGGCTGGCCCAAAACTGTCCTTCCTAAAATTATGCCAAATGGAAATATGTTTTAATCCTTCCAACACTACACCAGTCTTTGAACACATGAACTCTAAAACAGTCATGTTAAATTAGAAGATGAGCCTTGGTTTTGTATTGGTTTTAAATAGGCATTGTTAGTTTTAATAAATAAAAGGATGTCTTTCCATTTAAGAGAAAAACAAAGTACATTYCTCTGTTTACACACCCAAAGCTTTTAAAAAGAAAAATTAAAAACTAGACTCTAAATCAGCCAGGAGTAGTGGACAGAGCAAAGTGCCATATAAACCATGAAATCCTCTAGGGATGCAGCTGCCACTAATTTGGGAATAGAGTGTTCTCTGGATACTATAAAGGTGGGCAATAGTGTGACCTGAAGCTGGAAACACACATGCTGTTGAGAGATTGTACAAATCTTGTCTGTTACTTACCAACATTTCGAACCTGTTCAGATATATCTGCCCTTAGATCAGAAATATCCCACATTGCAAGGAAGGAGTCAAAGCATGAGCCTTCTTCAGCTTCTTGAACATAAGGTTTATAGGAAAAACTGTAGTGATGTGCAATAGCAGCCAGAAACATCTCCACACAAATGATAAAATCCTGCAATGACAGAGACAAAGACTTAATCATTCGTAATTGGAGAAAAACAGCTCTGGGTTTCTTCTACAAYTGAGAGGCTGCAATTACCCTGAGACACTGACACTGGCAACTTTTCCACCAGGATATTCTTGGCAGCCTTCAGAGAGCCATACATACAGGACTTGCTTTAAATGGATATTTAACAAGCAGCAGCTCTACAATGAATACCTGCAARAAGAAATGTAAGGCTATCCAGACGTATTTAACCAGGTCACCTCCCTTCCTCCTAATACGTGGATGTAGAAGTGTTGAGTGTAAAACTCACATAGGGTGACTGCCTGAAACTTAGCCCAACTTACAATAAATCCGTACTAATCAAGTCTGTGTTAAATACCATGAGTATGATAATATTTGCTTGAGATCAGCTATGTCATCTTACATATAACCATTCTTCTCCAGAAATAACCATCTGCTCCTACCTGCAAACCTGTAGCCACAGCTTCCACACTCTTCCATTCCCAGGTGTGTTTCTCAGAAATAACACCAACTTTCACCAGCAATGCAATGAGCACAGCCTGCCTAAAAAGATAATTTAGTAGTTGCACTATTAGTATTGTAACAGTAGTGCCAAAACTCTGCAAGCAARTCTGGTCTTACATACACATAGGAAGAATCTTACAAAATACCTTTCTGTTTATATACTTAGCTTTTAAGAGGAGGAAAGAAACTTAACAAGAGATGTCATTCATCCATGACCCTAAAGGCCARCAGAACCAACAAAGGAACAACCAGAGGAGAGTTTGTTGTTCCAGTCAGTCATTAGAACAAGTTGCTTCTCTTTCAGGATCTTGCTGCAGCTCACAGAGTAATGCTCTGATAGTCAAATACACTCACTCATTAGCGGCTAAGTGTGAACAATGCTTAAATACCAATTTTTAGTTAAATTGCAGAAATTTTGTTTCGAAAAAGTAATTATTTTACTTTAAAAAAAGTTTTGAAATAACTGCAAGTGAAGGATCTAAAGCTTTATTCTTGAGAATGACCTTACAAAACAGCAAGTCTGAAAAATAATCATAAGTGAACAAGACTGCTCTCTACAACATATTAGTACCCTCTTCCCCTCACTGCAGCTCACTAACATTATGGGCAGATTTTTTAAGGCCTCTAACCTCAGTAAAATAATCCAGCCTTTTTAGCTCTTTTACAATCCACCCTGACAGCAAGAAGTAACRAGCAAATAATTCACTTACCAGAAAGAAACAAAAACTACCATCTTCACGCAAAGGAACTTGCCAACAGGCTGGATAGGGTTCAGTTCCTCACGCAGTACTTTATAAAACAGCACCAGACAATACATGGCAAACTGACAAGGAAAAGAAAATGAATGAAAGCTTTCAAAGCCTTGTTTATTTTGTGAGGAGGTTGTTTTAACTACATTSCTAGAGTTAAAATATGCATCACAGTATGATACAAACTTAAAAAGTTATCTATTTAAAATAAAAAAGACTTCGGATTTATGGAATATTTGCCTTTCTTTTTTAAAGCATTTTTTTTTATTCTTGAAATTCCAATCATTTCAACCAGGACACAGAAGTTCATGCTGCTGCTGGGACTGTTGTCACAGCAGAAAGCAATTACAGCTTCCTCTGTGACAGCCACCCATCAAATACAGGGATGGCAGTAAGAGAAGGACAGAATTTCCAAATGATCCCAGTTGTCATGCTGTTCTGACTCCTGTTGCTCTTGCCAAAAGAAGTAAAATTAATCTGTGACCTCCAAAGTGAACCTTTCAATTTTAGGGGCTGACATCRTACCCTGACATTGTCTGACAGCTGACCCAACAAGAAAAGGTATAGGGCAGGCCAGAATCTCAGCACAGCACACACCATTTTCATTTTTTTTCCTGTGAATCTTAGTAGCAGCTTTTTAACACAGAAKTTTTAACATTGATTCTTTGTATGTGTGCTGGGAGGAAGCTATGGAGGCAAGTGCAGTTCATCTCTTCTRGACAGGGGCAAGTCTGCAGCTCT